CCTTGTGCTTGCCAGGGAAGCTCTTATTCTACTGAGCCATCTCCCTGGACCCCTGGCATCTCCTTGACACTCTTTGGGGTCTACACCCAGCAGTGAAATCATTTCTATGGAATCTCTACTGTTGGAAGATCGGCCGCACTTTTTACATTTTACCTCCCTAGTTGCAAGGCACAGGGCCCCAATGGCTCCATACTCTTGTCAAGGTTCATGTTTTCCATTTTCTCCATAGCGCCCACCCTGCTGAGATACCTAAAGCAGCATGTCCTACAGCCACGCTGGCCTCTACCAGCCAAGTGAAATGGAGTCTCAGAGTTTCATTTCAGGGAGGCAGTGGGCAGAGAGAGAAGAGCACTCCCTTCCCTCTTCTTGCCCTCCACCCACCTCAGACGCCACCCTACTCACATTGCGGCATATGTGCCTTTATGACACACCAAGCCTGGGAACTCAGGACAGAGGTGGTATGACAGCCCTGTTTGCGGTCCCTGGCATAGGCCTATCTCAATGACATGTCCTGTTTCTACAAAGGACAGAGGGGGGAAGAGTTCAGGTAACTGGAAGAATGGAAAGCCCTGTTGGTGGCCAGTGGACCCATGGCTTGACATCTGACAATTACCTCTGCAAGATGGCTCAGGGAACAGAGGTTAATGAGATGACAGAGGCAGTTCATGTCCTGTCATCTTCAGCCAGCATCACCACATGGCAGTAGTATCCACCCAGTGCCCACCCTGGGCACGGCTCTGTGCTCTTCCTAACACTTCAGTTTCATTGGTTCTTTTGTTTTGTTTTGTTATTGAGACAGTTTCTCACTATGTAGTTCAGGCTAGCCTTGAGCTCATTTTGCAGCACAGGTTAGTCTTGAACTCGCAATGATCCTCCTGCTTCATCCTTCATTTTACTGGTTCTCGATTAAGATTCACTATAGAAAGGCAAGTAGTTTTACTCCTTTTTTTGTCCTGTGAGTTGAATCCAGGCCATTTTTAAATACTGAAACAGCATTTTGCTGTGTTTTTTTGTTTGTTTTTTCGGTACTGGGGATAGAACTCAGGACCATGCACTTGCCAGCTGAGCTATCTCCCCAGCCCAGTCTTGCTAAATTGCAAGGTTGCCCAGGCTGGGTTCAATCCTCTTTATAATCCGCCCCTCAGAGAGCTGCTGTGACAGACACGAGCCCTCATGCCCTAGCTTTGTTCCTGCATTCTAGATGAGAGAGGCAGGGCTCAGAGAGGGGAAATCATTGTGCATTATTCCAGGGCCAATAACCGGAAAGCCCCAGACAAGAACCAACTTCTCCTTGACTTCTACTTTGAATTCATCCCACTGTCGGCATCTCCTACACGTGTGTCCCTCCAGTCACCCTCCCGCTCAGACAGCAGCTCCCCTTTCCCTAATGAAATACCACCCATCTTTGGCCCAGCATTCAAGGCCCCGTGTGACCTCTCCCCAGCCTGCTTTCTCAGCCCATTTCCACCATCCAGCTCCCAGGCTCACCTCCATACTTTGTAGATCCTAAGCGCCCTCTTCGGTGGCACGTCCACACACACACCTCTAGCGCGCTGTGATCTTTAGAATATCTTGCCTCTTCTTAGCCACTAATTCTCTCTTCATGGAAGACTCTGTTATATTATGCTGACAGCTTTCAGCGCAAAGCAGCTCTCGCTGCTCCGTCCCACACCTTTATATTTGGCTCTCTCCTGGACGCCTCCCCTCAAAGTCTCCCAGGTACCTCATACTTCTTTCCTAAACCAAACTCATTATCTTTCACCCTGACCTGTTTGCCTCCTGTGACTCCACTCTGACGAGTGGTACGACCAGGCACCCAGTCACAAGCCAGAGGCCCTGAGCCACATCCCCATTTGAACCCAAGCTCCCGAGAGTAAGGACTGGTCTGTCTGGTTCAGCATGGTATCCCCGGGGCCTGGCCCAGTGCCCAGCACATCGTTAACATTCAACACAAGGACGAGGGTAGGCGTCTCTTAATCAGTTCGCAACTGCCCCCTAACAAACATCCCCAAACCCCGAGGCCTAAATTGCCTATCATCTACTATTGCAGCTCCCCCCATGCCTGTGGGCTGGCAGGTACCGGTTGCCCTTGATCCTCAGGCTGAGTCAGGAGGGCTCTGCTCTGGGCTGAGCTGAGCAAGGTGGGCGGGGCGGTTCTGTTTCCCCTTTTCTCTCGTCCCTCACCCTGGCTCAGCAGACAGGTACTGGACACCGTCTTCTCACAGTGAGGACAAGAGCAGGCCTGCCCTGCTGTCCAGGAGCTCTCTAGGCCTGGCCAAGCAGGCAGGGCAGAGAGGGTGAGTGGTGAGTGCAGGGCTGCAGCTGGAGAGGAGGAATAAGGAAGAACTTCTAATATTCCACAGTACATTAGGTTCACTATGTTTAACCACAGCCTGGTTGTTCATTTCAAAATAGTAAAGAAGACTCTTTCTTTCTTTCTTTCTTTCTTTCTTTCTTTCTTTCTTTCTTCCTTTCTTCCTTCCTTCCTTCCTTCCTTCCTTCCTTCCTTCCTTCCTTCCTTTTTTTGTGGTACTGGGGATTGAACGCAGGACCTTGCACTTGCCAGGCAAGTGCTTATTCTACTGAGCCATCTCCCAGGCCTTAAAGACGACTTTAAATGTTATCAAAGAAATGATAAATGCTTATGGAAATGGATATACCAATCACCCCAATCTGATTATTACACACTGTGTACATGTACTGAATATGACACTGTACCCACACATATATACACTTACCACAAATCATTTAACTCTTCTAAAAATATTAAGATTTTTTTCTTTAAAAAAATCAACACATGCAGGAGGCTGAGGCAGGAAAATGACAAACCTATTTTTCAAAAGACTTTCGTCTGGACAGGCTCACTATGAGGTGGCCATGGCAGTGCACGCCTATAATCCGAGCACTTGGGAGGCTGAGACAAGGATTATCGCAAGTTTCAGACCAGCCTGGGCTACAAAGTTAGCTCAAAGCCAGTCTGAGCTGCATAGCAAGGCCCTGTCTCAAAAAAAAAGAAAGACAGACAGACAGACAGACAGACAGGCTCGCTGACACCTCACAGGCCACGTCAAATCACACACTCCTGCCCTTTGACCCTTGTCTCTCCGAAATCCAACTCCTCTTCAGTCCTCTTTTCCCACTGTTGCTGCTCTGGCTCAAACCCTCCTTCTGTCTTACCAGGATGACCTCCTGCCTTGCCTTGCTCCCTTCCAATCCAAACCCCACCACACAAGGTGTACAGAAAACGCCACCTTTCAGCTGACAGTAGGCGAGGACTTCTGTCATCTCAGCCCTCAGGAAGCGGAGGCAGTAAGACTGCGCATTTAAAGCAACTTGGACTACATAGGGAGACCCTGTCTCAAGCCTCCTGCCCCTCTAGAGAGCACTCTTTCTATGCCAACCTGATGTTTCTCTGCACTTCAAGCCCACAGGTGGACTTCAGCACCTACATCCCCTACGGACACCCGCATCATGCTGTGCAGCCCACTCTGCCTCGGGCCTATCTTCCGGACCTCCGTAGTGCTGCCTGCTCCCCGCACTGCCCTTCCCACCCACTGCCTTTGCCTCCTCCATCCCCCAACCAAACCCTCCTCTATGACTCCAGAAATATTCGCTGCCTGATCGCACAGCTGCGCAGCCAAGTTCATGTTTGACTTTTCTGTGCCTCATCGGAGGCCACCACTAGAAGTCGCTTAAGGAAAACTTCACGTAATATTAAGAGAAAAAGGGAGCCTTCAAAACTGAGTATTTAGGGGCCAGCGAGATAGCTCAGTGGACTAAAACGCTTGCTGAGGACCCGAATGGATCCCTGGCACCAAATGCTGCAGCAGTCAGAGTCCGGGAATGGTGACACATGCCTGTAATCCCAGTGCCAGGGAGGCTGAAAGCAGGAGGATCACCTGGAGTCTGAGCTGCATAGTGAGACCCTGTACCAACCAAATATATAAGAAACAGTATTTAATATGATTTTGATTTTGCAAAAACACCACCCATCTATGTAAATATGCAAGAGAATGGCCACTGACCTTCTTCCTTATTGTATGCGAGTCTTATTTTTATTTTTCTGTACTTTAAAATTCTTCCTATCACCTAAGCATAACTTTTGTAAAAATATTTTTTAAATGCTTGTTTTGGGGTGGGCGTGCAGCTCCGCGGCAGACCCTGGGTTGTTTGATCCCTAGCACTGGGGGAAAAAAGCTAATTAGTGGGCTGTGGTCATGTACAATCCCAGCACTCTGGGAGGATGAAGTGGGAGGATTCCAAGTTTGAGGTCACTTGGGTCACTTAATGTGATCCTGCCTCAAAAAACACAGCAGAGATAGAGTACCCCTGGGTTCCATGTCCAGTGCTGCAAAGAAAAAGAAAAAGGCCAACAACCTGATTGTTCCATGCTTCAGTTTCCATATGGGTAAAATGAGGGCAGTCAGAGTAATGCCCGCAGCTACCATGAGGATGAATGGGCCTGTGGATCCTGACTATCTGAATATCGCAAACCCTCTGTCTGGGGAGGGAAGCTAGAGGCTGCCCTTTCTGGGCCCTGGACAGACCCTCCCGCTGTGAGGGCCACCTCCTCCCCAGGCTGGGTCATGGTGCCCCTGCCCTCCCCAGCCTTGGGGCAGCCTTCCCTGCCCAGCAGGCCACCTCCCGCACATGTAGACGCTGTGGGTACACACAGCACACTCGTGGGCCAACCCCCCAATATAGCCTAGAGAACAACACAAGCAGCCAGCTTCCCTGAGTAGATGAGGCCGAGCTCAAGGGAAAGGCCTCAGAATAGCCCCCCGAGGAGCAGGCTGGGAAAGAGGGCACAGTGAGAGGTGCCCATTCCTAGTGCAGCCTTTCGCACCTGCATTTTATCCAGAACCTTCCTTCCCCTCCTGCTAAGGGGGCACAGACTCAGGCTGCAGGGACACAGGAGGGACAGAGAGATGCTGAGGCAGATGGCCCAGATACGGAAAGCCAGGGACTGCCCGGCCTCCTGGCCCACTGCTGGCCCTTCTGCATGACAGCCTATCTGCTGGCCTGCACACATAGACTCTGGCTTTCCCCCAGCAGGGGAAACGGCCTCCACTCAGAAGCAGGCTGGCTCAGGTCAGGCCCTAGCTGACTTTAAATCCTGTACCCCTTCCTTCTGATCTATTTATTTATTTTTAATTTTTTAAATTTATTTGATACAGGGTCTCACTACACAGCTTGGACTCATAGTGATCCTCCTGCCTCAGGCTCCCCAGCACTGGGATGACAGACATGTGGCACCACGCCTGGTTTTGTTGGCCGGCTTAGTGCCTGAGGCCCGCACAGCATGTGGTACTGGGGATCAAACCTAGGTCCTTGTGCTTGCCAGGCAGGCACTTAGTCCACTGAGCTACCTCCCCAGTCCCTTCCCTCTGATCTATTCAGCCAGGGTGGCTTCCATGGTCTCCCAGTAGATAACATGCCAGAGATCCAGTCTTTCCCAGGTGATAGGAAATGGACCCTGGGGCAGGGGAGATGGCTCAGTAGAATAAGCGCTTGCCTGGCAAGCACAAGGGCCTGAGTTCAATCCCCGGTTCTGGGGAAAAAAAAAAAAAAGCTGGATCCCAAAGTCCAATCAGCAGAAGCAGGATGAAAGGAGCAGCCATCAAAGAGCGACAGGAACCCCAGCTGAAAGAGGGCAAACTGCAGAGGAGAGGGGGCAGAAGAGGACGGGGCGCCCCAAGCCTGGCTTCCTTTTATGGCAGGTGGTAGGAAACATCCTTAAAGGGAGCTGGACCTTGTCCTACAGGCTGTGCTAGGACAGCCCTGCAGGTCCATGCCAGGCAGACAAAATGGGCCAACTATGGGCCTCACTGGGGGCAGGAGGTGGTAAGGACAAAGCAATGACACAGAGCCCTTGGCTCAGTGTGGTGGGCAACGTAAAGGTTAGGGGCAGCACCTCTGGCTTGGGCACAGAATCAGAACTCCACCCCAGCCCATTTCTAATCATCCCAGCAGCTGTGTAACTGAGCCAGGACAGGCTCGCCCTCCTCTGCCGAGCCCAACAGGCCCCTGCTCCCCGCTTCCTCCGACCCCCACCCCTCTGTCCCCAGGCTCCTTCCAAGTACCTGCTTGCTCAGCCCTGGGTCAGAGCCTCAAGGAAGCCTGCAGCAGCAAGAACCAGCAGCTCACAGATGGTGGCCTCTTTCTCCCACCACTACTGTGAGGGCTGTGACTTCAGGAAAGAAAATTCAAGGCAGAGGAGAGAGAGTGCGGATAACAGGATTGGCAACCCGAGGAAAACATTTGGAGAGTGGTAGATGGTTTCACAAGCCGGGTTTGGGAAAGAGCCCTCAATCGTAAGAGTCCTTGTGCTTGTCGATAAAGATCCGGGAACACGGTGTCCTTGTAAGGGACAGAACTCAAGGTGGCTTGACGGGGCACTGCGCCGCCATCCAGGAGCAGGTGCTGAGGAGGGGGAGCTGGCTCGAGTGTCTTATTCCCTAGGAACGTCTCACCCGCTGGCCGCAAAGCCTGCTGAGCTCCTCACAGGTGGCTAAGGACAGCCGGTGTTGGGCGGCAGACAGGGTGAAGCCAGAGTCTACAGCCTCTGCAGGCAGAGCCAGACGGGACGACTGCCCTTGGCCTTGCCAAAAGCTCTCATCTCATTCCAGGAAGTACGGTGCCATAACACAGTGACGTGGGCACTTCTCATCCAGAGAAGCATCTTGCTAGAAGATCAGGACGCTCTGTCACACAGCTAGGCCGGGTAAGCCTTCCTCCACCCCATTCGCCTCCCAAGCTTCTGTTCCTGCATCAGACACCTAAATCGCCACAGTTCCTTGCTCTGGAGAAGTGCACGGCCCTTCTAGAAGGTCTGTGGAGATGAGCAGTGAGGGGCGGCTTAGAAGAGCCTGAGTCCAGGCCCCAGAGGATTCTGGGGGTCAGCAGTTATTGGGGGGAGGGCAGCTGATCTACCCATGGGGTGAGTCATGTGGTCTGAGGTGGTCTTAGTCTTCTCAAGTGGGCCTCAGGGGTCAGGGAAAAATACAGAGTTCCTTCAGGACGCAAGGAAAGCCTGTCGAGGGAAATACCAACAGCCCCTGGCCGCCTCCAATGACACCAAGTTTCATGTCATTCACTCTGGAACCCCTCAGGATCAGTGCCTGCAGCCCTCCTCCTACCTCCCAAATTATAATAATAACAACCACACTCTTCTCTGAATTTTCCCTGAATTAAATTAGATCACCCTCAAACTTATTTTACAGACAGGGAAAGTGAGGCAGAGGCAGGCTAAACAAGCAGTTTACGTTCTTGTAGGTATAAAAGGCAAAGCTGGGATTCAAACCCCACTAGCCTAGCTCCCAACTCTTCAGCCCTTGGCAGCATGCTGTACTGCCCTAGAGACTGATTAAGGGTCCTCTACCATTTTCCGAGTTTCTGTTCCTGGAAGCCTGGAATGGATGGCATCTGGAGAAACAACTGGAAGGAAGCAGGGGGCCTACTTCAGGAGGACCAGCAGTGAAGCTCAGACCTCTATGCTGGTGTTGTCAGGGCTTCCAACCCATCCTTCAGGCCAAAATCTCACAGGATCCCAACAACAGTTGTTCTCTCTCCTCCAGCGTCACAGGTGGGGTTCATGGGCTACCCCTCAGCGCCTCCATGGCTACTGAAAGACCCCTTAGCAGGGCCATGATCCACAGCCCCTTTCCTGCCCACCCACCCTGCAAATCCCAGCTGGCCCAGCCGTGGTGCTATGATGCCAGCCAAGAGCAGGGCCTGCAAGCAGGTGGCCCGGGCACCATCTGCCCAGAGCGGAGCAGCCAGAGGGTCACAGAACCATTCCACATGGAGAGCTAAGCCAGTCCCAGCAGGAAGGCACAGGCGGCTGCTGGTGGGGAGCCCACAGGCTGGGAATCTTCTGCTTGCCCTAAACGTCCTTCTCAGGCCTTCATCTGGCTGCCTCTCCATTGTCATTCAGGTTTCAGCTCAGCCGTCACCTGCTGAGACCTTCTCTGGTCACCCCCCGCCCAAAATAGACTTCCTGTTCACCCACATCACTCCATCTTAATTTCTTCATGGTATTTTCAGTTTCTAGTAATATTCTGCTGATAGTTTATGGTGTTTCCCTTTCCAAAGATAGTGAAAGATCCAGGAAGTCTGGGGCTTTGTTTTAGTCACTTGGTGGGTAACTGGTATTTTAGAATGGTGCCTGGTAATAATGCCTAATAATAC